TTTGATATTTCACATATGTGAAATTATATGTTTTTTGTTCTTTTCTGTCTGACTTATTTCATTTAGCACCCTCCAGATCCATCCATGTTGTTGCAAATGGCAGTATTTCATCATTGTTTATGGCTGAGTAATAGTCCATTATATATTTATACTACATCTTCTATATCCACTCATCTGTCAGTAAACACTTAGGTTACTTTGTTTCATAGTGTTTCATCTTCTATTAACCTCAGTAAATTTTTACTTCAAAAATTGTAATTTTCAATTCTAAATGTCCCATTTGGTTCTTTTTTATGTATTCCCATTTCTTTCCTCATTATGTTAACGTTTTCATTATAATTACAATAGCTGCTTAACTGTCCTTGCCTTGCTAGTTCAATTATCTCTGTCATTTCTGGGCCTATTTCTCTCTCTTTACTTTTTTCTTTTGAAATATTTTTAGACTTATAGAAAAATTGCAAAAAACATTAAGGACTTTATATATACCCTTTATCCAGCTTCCTCTGACATTTAACACCTTACATAACCATAGTGCAGTTATCAAAACTAGGAAATTTACAATAATACAATACTGTTAATTTACCACCTTATTTGAGTTTCACCTGTTTTTACACTGTTGTTTTTCTGTTGCAGAATCCAATCCATTAACCCTGTATTGCTTTTAGTTGTCATATCTCTGTTTTATCTAATGTGTAAGAGTCTCTCAATATTTGTCTTTCAATGACCTTGACATTTTCAGACTATTGGTCAGTTATTTTGTAAAATGTCCCTCAATTTATGAGGTACTTTGAAACTATGCTAATTTCCTGTTTTCTCGTGATAATTTTATAATATTAATTTTATAATAACTGATGATACTACAAACAGCAAACACTGTATAGCATTTATGTGTTTGGCACTGTTATGAGTACTTTACATATAACTCATTTAATTCGCAGAACAGTTATAGTTGTAGGGCAGTGTGCCATTGGAGCCAGGATAGTGACACTCAACTCAAAGAGCAAAGGATGAAAAAAAAAGACTATTTAAATACTTGAATTATCACCTCTATTGAAGACAAGCTAATTAATATCAGGAACTTAGTACTGTTCAAGTTTGGGGTCTTGCAGAATGCTAGACACAGAATGTACAATTGGTAAATGTTAAGTTCATGCTAGGTAGATAGGTTGGATAATCTAACCAGCATCCTCACTAGTTGAGACTTGACTGTTTTTTTCCAAGGGTCAAAGTCAGGATCTTGATATACCTTGATCTTTCAAAATATCTAAACTTTTATCTGGCCTTCTCTTTGATCCTTGAATATGCCTAGCTGTACCTACACTGGTGTCTTCGTATGACAGGTTTATCTTTATACCCCTTCCTCCAGATCTTCACATCATCGGTTCCGTCTTGTCATTATTCCTTATCTCAAGAATCATGTTTTCAGAGACTCAATTCTGAACCTTCCTCACCTGCCTCACCTGCCTCCCCTGATTCTAACTCTGTCACTCTTCATCCCATTTTCCTGCCTTACCTTCTTCACAGAACCGTGCCTGGCTGGTTCTCAGTTATGTGCACAGCACCTGCACCAGGCAGCACAGAGTAAGTTTTCAGTTAAATATTTATTGCATGAAATAATCAAGCAATCTGTAAAGGACATCATTGGGGTCCTTGACACTGTATGACTGAATCTAGAAATTCAAGGTTCATTCTGAAAGTGGGTTTTCTGTGATGCTCTTGAATTTGACATCCAAGGACATATTCATAAACTCATTCTTAAACTCCTAGTGGAGGCTTAAACTTCAGTAGAAATAGATAAAATCTTTAATCTCTGTAGATAAAGGACTGAATTTTCTTCTGTCAGTTGATTGAACTGTATTTGCTAGTCATTTTACCTAGCACAAGATCTAAAGTTAAAATATATTGTTTACATCTGTGTGGCAGTGTTAATATTAATAAATTTGCTTTCATGTGGCATTTAGAGATTATTTATATCAAGCCCCCTAAATTATTGAAGTTTGAGAATATATGTGGTCTATAAAAACTTGTCTTCCCAGCAGCTTGATTTTTTTCCAGCTTTTTTGAAGTATAATTGACAAATTAAAATTGTATATATTTGAGGTGTAAAATGTATTTTTAATACACACACACACACACACACATTACCACAATCAAGCTAATTAACATATCTATTACCTCACATAGTTACCTTTTGTTTATGTGGTAAAAACACTTAAGATGTACCCTCTCAGAAAATTTGAAGCGCACAATACAGTATTATTAACTATCGTCACCATGTCATGCATTAGATCCCAAGAGCTTTAAATAGCAATTTTGTTTTCTTCCATTCTTGACTTTACCTTTGATGCCCAGATGAAAATCCTAATCTCACTTGCAATGTACAGCATTACTAGGAATTGAACAGTAACTGAAGAATGAAAAACTAAAGATATTACACATGCCAAGTGCTGTTTTGGGAATAATATCAGGAACATAGCAATATGGGCTTATATATACACATATGCTTATACATATATGTATACAAACACATACGTATAAATGTACATATGCAAACAGACACATATATTATTTAAAACTTTAAGGAATTTCAAACTCGAGGCTTTTTAGACTATTATACTAAACATTAGGATACTTTAGCTTACTCAACTCCTTTGGCCCTTCTCTTACATCATTTTTCTTTTTGACTAATGTACTGAGTTTGGGGAAAGCTTCAAAAACTATCTGCAAACTATAAAACCACTACATATACATAAGAGCCCCCATCTTTTTCATGAAATCATAGATATTTCTGAAACTGATCTCAGATTACCAACATTCTTTCCTTTTCTATGCCTGGTTAATCTTCAATTTAAATTTCCCTCGTACTCTGACTCTCATCTGCAACGTTTAGTGAGAATCAGCAGCTGTGCACTTTTGCTTCTGAGAGACCTCAGGTGAAGGAAGGGGTTTTCGGTCACGGCCAGCCTTGGCGATCTCATCTGCAAAGGTTTATACTTCTGTACTCCCAAGGAGATTCTCCTCCATCAGGTTTCCTGTGGATGTCAAGTGGAATTGTGTTTTGCTGGTTCAGGTCTCTTTCTAGTGTGCTACTCCCGAGATATTTCTTTTAATTTGGGGGCCTTAGCAAAATACAAAGGCAATTTGGAAATGAGAAACTAAAATATACCCTTATACTTACTAAATGTAAAGTCCTGTTTATATTGTATGAAATATGGTATGATAGTAACAGTAATCAGATATCTTCATCTTTAAAAATGTAAGTGAAGTGAAAAACCATGTATCAAACTAAACTAAAACTTTTAAAAAGTGAAGTAACTGTTCTAAAAAGGCCAATTAATTTAAAGTAGCTGGATTATACCTGGTAGTAGTCACAGTCTTGCCTTAATTCTGTGACTTATGGACGAATCACCCGCTTTGCTGGCCCACAGTCATGTCTTCTGTGTGAGATGAGACCAGACCAATGAGCTGTTTTATGTTCTTCCTGTGTCGCTGCTGCTTGAGGAGCCTCATCTCCTTTACACCTGTGAGGAAAATGCTTTTAGAGTTAGCCTCTCTCTAGCGCTTACCATGCATCTGGTACTCTAACTCTAGATGGATTATCTCATATTTCCTCGGAAGAAAATCTAGGAGGAAATACACCAACATGCTCATACTGGATATTGTGGTTTTCAGGGTACACTGCTTTTTCTTCATTTCCCATACATGATATTACTTTGCGGTGGAAAGAAATCCAAAGAGCACAATTATTGGAAAGTAATAAAAACTGACAAAGTGCTTTGCAATTTTTAAGTGCTTTTCACATGAATTTATGTGTTTAATACTTCCAGAAACCATATGACACAGTTGGTTTATTTTACAATTTATTTCCCCCATTTCACAGTTCAAAAAGGTAAAGTCAGCTTATTTGCCCGAGGTCACACAGCTAGTAAAGAGCTGAGCCAGAACTTAAACTCAGGACCTAAGACTCCCAGACTGTGCACCAAGTTCTTTCTCCTCAGAGGCCCTAACTTTGACTTTGACTGCATTCTGGGAAGGCACCCCTTCACCAGATTTGAAAGGCAGCATCTTCACGAAAGTCACGTACAGTTGACTTTCTCTCTTCTTAGAGTCGATTGCGCTTGACTAGTGCCTTGGATCACACGTTTTCTCCCAAAAGCCCTTTCTCCGGGACTAACCCAAAATTTGGAGGTCTCTGGAGTTAATCGTATCAGGCCTCTTCATGGAAGGTGGCAAGTACAAGGCAGAGCCCGGCGGGGGAGGGGAGGCTATGGAAACAGCTGAGCCCACAGGTGGACAGTCCTGGGGAGATGGATAGTCAAGGAAGGTCTTACCAGTCACATTTTATACACATTATGGCATAGAAATCTGATTTCCATCAACTTTTCTGGTAACTTGTATCTCCAGAATAAATTATGTTGGACTTTGTACTCAGTAAGAAACCGGCTTATAGTAATTGCACTTGTTCAGTTGCATTCTTCAGATGGGTATTAGGGACTACTACTTCCACCAACAAGTCTATTTATCTACTTTTTCGTATATTGGATCTATGTAAGGCTTCCTCCTTTTTAAAAAAAGGATCCACCTTAAAAAATAAGAAGAAAACAAAAGAAAAGGAAGAGAGAGAAAAATGGTTTAAGAATTATTCATGTTAGAACTTTGTTTTTGCGTGTTTCTTGTATTTTCATTTTTTTCTAAAATGGTGTCAATTCCATAAGTTTGGGCAAATCTTAACATTATTTTGTATTTCACTCCCTTTGAACACTGGAAAGAAAATATGCTTCTGTCCCACCTCGCCTCCAGGAGCCCTAGCATGAGATCGCCAAGGTTGGCTGTGACCGGAAACCCATTACTTCACCTGAGGTCTCTCAGAAGCAAAAGTGCGCAGCTGCTGATTCTCACTAAACGTTGCTTTTCTGTTCTAGAAGGTGCAGATGGTGCTTGGGATTTCAGGTGATTCCTCCTCCTCACCAGGATGCAACACGTTTTCCTTTTCTCTCTAGGTGGCAGCACAAAGACAGAAACGGAACAAGTGACAGCAGGTCCACGCAAGGCTTGGCCACTTCTCGTCTTACTTAAGATTCTGCCAAAGAGCTACGGATTTTTCTTTTGCCCTTTCTAGAAAATCACCAGATGCCAAAAGATGTGTGCTAAAGAACTAACCATGAATGATGTATTTCTTGGATCAGTTCCACTAGTGTGGTGGGCAGCAGCATACCACCGCCCCTACCCCAAAGCGATTCCCTCAGGAAACTTGAAAGCACCCCAAGATGTGAACCAGCCCACAGTCTGAGGGGATCGGGCTACATCACCCTCTGTCCCAGGCCCATCCCTGGAAAGGTGTGGATTTTTACAGTCAAGTGCTTCAGATTTCAAAACATTGGCAAGAGAAGGCTCGTTGTGAAATTTGGGCCGTTTCTTCAACCTCACCATGGTGGCCTGTTCTGCTTCCCTGGGTTTAGACGAGCATGTTTTAGGTATGTGGTGACCACAGATGTATAGTGATCATAAGTACTCGATGAACACTAAAGTACACCAAAGCTTTGATGAACCAGTTTTCTACCCTTCTAATTTATAACAGGACCTGAACATGTGCATTTTATGATCTGCTTCATTTTTAAAAGATTTGTCCAGTATGTATATTATTATACATTTTTAGAGTGAGGGCATAAGATATGGGAGAAAGTTGGAAGTAGATGCCAAAAAGTAATTTAATGGGGAATTCTGATACATGAATTCATGAATATGTTTTAGGGAGTAGCGGGGGGTTTTGTGAACACATGTGAAGGGGTTTGAGCTGGCTTGTCCACTTGACTTATTAGAACAATAGGGTGGAAGCCACTCAGGTGATCTTCCTGCGTTCATACCGGATCCCAAACGCCTTCTTCAGGAAATAATTGGTTTCTGATTCTTTAGTGTCATCAAGTAAGTAGAACCTGGTTCTGGAGAGTAATCTGTAATTCTTTTACACACCATTCACACATAGATATTTTTGTTAATCTGAAGGGACTTTTAACATTCCCATGCTCCTCTAGTTGACAGATGAATTCTCCTCTCTAAAAACCTAACTCTAGGAAGTCAGTTGTGGATTTCGGGATGTATTACAGGCTTTCCAGAGAGCACTCCACAGAAATTACCTGTTTGAAATCAAAGCCATTTGGATAAGAATCAAGAGCCTGACACATAGTTCAACATACACTTAAAATTTGGATTTTTCTGTCTTCTCCTTGCATAATTCCAAATACCGTCTTTGCAGTTCAGTGTTTATTTTGGTCTAAAGGAACTGCCAGCACTGGTTTTCCTGCAGTCTGTTGTGTGTCCTTGAGCAAAGTGGTTAGCCTCTCAGGACCACGTCTCAGGGCAGGAGAGCTGGCTAGTGTGATAGCTGGCCCTTATCTCTCCTTCCTCCAGAAAGACTTACCTCTAGGAAATCCCTGTGTGGACCCCATGCTCCCACATGTATAAGGTTCCCTCAATTTAAGAAAGGCTTGTTGGGATGGTTCTACATCTTCTACAGACGCCGCTTATCAACTATATCCTTGGCCCCTTCAGCTCCTCAATCTCTCTCTCTCTCTCTCTCTCTCTCTCTCTCTCTCTCTCTCTCTCTCTTTCTCTCACTCTCTCCCACCCTCTCATTACCCCCACCCCCATTCCCCCTCATCTCCTTACATTACAATTGTTCCATGGTAAACACATGTTACTATTAAAACAAAACCAATAACCATGAAAATACTCAGTTATAACTATACCATTAGTTCCCTAAATTTTTTTCTCTCAAGATTTATTTTTTATTACATTTTACATCTCAGTAAATTTCTTGGAGGATCTGTTTTACTGTGCTTATTATTCAAGTAGATGCAAATACTGTAACTAATCAAGTAAGTTCTATCCTTGAACCTTTAAAGGTTTCTGATCCCTACTATTGATTCCTCAACTTTCTTTACCCAATTGGAAATGTGTTTTGCTTTACATTGGGTGTGTTTACATGAATATGGATGGTGACATTAGTTTTGCTTTCAAGATTTACTTAGAGATCATGGCAAATACTCTGGAGTATTTTACCACCAGAACTGAGAGGTACTGTTCTGTCCATAAAACAGGTAAGATGAAAAAATATGACTGAAGGAACAGAGCAGGAAATGTTTCAAATCTGTTGATATACAGCCTTGCTGAGTTTTTTTCTAGCAGATGGTAACCAAGTTTTTCAACTTAACAGCAGTAACTGAATCTCCCCGCCCCATACACACATCCAACTCCTCATAAAACCTTTGGGTGGTTTCTGCTGCTCTTAGGATGAAGCCCCTAACAGCCCTCCCATCATGACCTCAAGGCTTCGCGTGCCATACGCAGCTCCAAGTCTCCCATCTGTTACCCTCGCCCCACCTTTTCGGGCCCTCAGTGGCTCCCTGCTCACTCCAGCTGACTGCGTGGCTTTCAGGTGTGCTGTCTCCTCGCCCTTCCTCAAGCCCCGCCTTGATTCCCTCCACCCTGCTCCTCCTCAGCTCTGATCTTCCCTAGTTTCCCATCCAGAAGCCTGGGAAGCCTCCCCTGACCTTTGTGTCCAGAGCAGATCTTACTGTGGGAGCTCTCACGGCACCTTGTGCCTCTCCTTCCTGGAGCTATCACAGAGACATGTTTATGTTCGTAGGTATAATGAATAGATGACTGTTTCTCTCCCCAGTTACACAGAGCTTCAAGAAGGCAGAGACCACTTCAGCTTACCATTTGTGCAGAAGAGTTAGCATAGCAGGGCTGAGACTGCCGTCCCTGCCTGCTTGCAAGGTTGGCCCTTGGTTGCTGTTTGGGAACTTGGCTGGTAAACAGCTGCTTACACTGATATGGTCAGAGTGGCCCACTGTGTCTAAACTGTTTTTACAAATAATGTGGTTTATGCTGAACACCTTTCCTTCTGGGGTCTGGAAATTTGGAACATGCTAGGCAGAGAGTCCCTATGAGACCAGCCCCAATAAAAACCCTGGCCTGGCCAGAGTCTCTAATGGGCTTCCTGGGCAGAAGCAATTCATGCGTGTTGCTGTGTTTTTGCTGCTGGAGTGCACTCTGTGTGACCCCTCATGGGAGGGGAAGAGCATAAGGAAGCCTGCACAAGATTTCTCCAGACTCCACCAGTGTCTTTCTTTTTCCCTTATGATAAGGCTATGGATCCTTACTACACCGACGTAGTAAATCTTAGCTGCAAAAACTATATGCCAACTTCTGTGATCTCCTTATAGCAAATATTCAAACACGGGAGTGAGCTTGGGGACCCTCAAGGCACCGTTGTATCCCCAGAACCATGCACACTATTTGACATTTAACAAATGGTTTATTACCAATTTTTTGAAATGAAAACGAAAATTACCTCAGAGGGTTAGAGCTAAATCTATCCTGTGGTAATTCTCAACAGAACTCTACTAGTGGTTACCAGAGGCTAGGAGGTGGGGGGAGGGGAGAGTTAGACAGGATAAAAGGGTCAAATATGTGGTGACAGAAAGAAATCTAACTATGGGAGGTGAACACAGTGTAAATATGTATATGCCTTACTATTAAAGTGTACAGCTGAAACTTACTGGATTTCATAACTGATGTCACCATAAAAAAATAAATAAGTAAATTTAAAAATAAATAAATTTTTAAAAAGAACTCTAAGAAATAATTTATCGACTATATCCTAATGACACAAATAATGTACATACTTCTGAAACAGGCAGAATGAAAAATGATTCAGGAAATTTAGTAGGTAGGTAGGTCAAAGCTCATCAGATTTTTTTCTCACAAAGATTAATTTTCCGTTTCTGAAGCGGGGGAGGGGCGGGGCATGCTGGGCCAGGAACTTCACTCTGCCCCACAGGCAGTTTCCCTGACTTTCCTTCCCACCACGCGGTTCCAGTGTTAGCTGATTCCATCATGCAGCGTGACACTCAGTACCGGGAGCAGTGAGTGCTTCTCAACTTGAGCTACACGTTGGGAATCTTCTGGAAGCTTTTTAAAAAAATACTGATATCAGAGCCTCAGCCCTCGAGATTCTGATATAATTGGTCTGGGCCCAGGGATTTCAATGTGCAGCCCTGCTGACACCCCCACCCCAAGTCCCGTCCTCCTTCACCTTCCAATCACGACCTTTGACAATCGTATTTCAGAAGGTCCAGGCTTCTACTCAAGGCCAATTTATTCTTATTTTCAAAAGACTTCTTTAAATTTTTGTTTTCTGGTTCCCGGGCTCACAGCTAATAGGCAGACACACTAAGAGGAGGAAATAACACCTTTTATCTCAACGGCTCAAGAAGAAGGAAGCACCTAGGACAAGCAGGTGGAAGAACTCAAAACCATAAAAATCAGGGCCATTTCAGAGCAGGTCACTCCTAAGAACAGCCCTGTAGTGCAGAACAAAGTCGTTGGTGAGAATGTTGTTTGTAACGATGACCAGCAGTCTTCACCACCACTTGACACCCTTCCCTGCCGCCCTCCCTCCCATGTGCACCTCACTTTATATGTAAGACGAAGTTCATCAATTTTATTTTGAATATTTGGTAAGAGCTCATTATCAGTGATGAGGATGCATATGTTAGTTACTGTCTTGGGGAAACTCTTCCCCTCTAGTAAATGTAAACCCAACCACTTGCCACCTTTTAACTCTTCTCCAGGGAAGAAAAGAGTCTGAGATGTACCAGCTGATAATTGGCAGAGCTGTGATCTATCTTTCCCTCATAGCACCTGGCATGGCTCTTCTGGGAATCCAGGGACAGTGGGTAATAAGTTGGGTGAGGTAAGGTTATCCAGGTCTTGAAAGCCAGGCCAAGGGACTTTGGCTTTGAAGTGGATGGAAATGTTTGGTTCTCAAATGGAATAGAAGAGCCATAAAAAAGACCAAATCAGGATTGCCAGATAGAAGAAGGGTGGGCTCCAAGGAGCAGATGGATCTGAGTTGGAATGATTTGGATTTAGGCAGGTGTGGGCCTGAGGCAAGGCCCAAGGGGGTGAAGGGAATGAATGGCTCATGCACCTACTCTGTGCCCCACCTGCCCTTTCATCAGAATGAGAAGGGGCAAGATTTCAGGAGGAAGCTGTCTCAGCTCTAAGGGGTTGAGGAATCTTTCTGTGATAAAATTTCACTTTTTCTCTGCCTGGTGCTTTTGCCTAAAGGTGGCAGTGGAAATCTGAAGATAAGTTATGGTTAGAACCTCTGCTCCAAGGAGACTCCAGAAAGGCTGGCTAAGCAGCCTGCGAGGACTTGGCCTGTCCCGGGGCCCCACACTTGGGCAGGCCTGGGCAGGGCAGGAGCGAAGTCAGGAGACTTCCTTTACCCAGGTGCAAAGAAAGGTGTCAGCTTTCAAAGCCGATCATGTCAGCTCTCCATTGGTAACAAGCCAGCCAGAGGTAGTCACCAAATGGGCCCTAATCATTTTGCTGCTCATTTATCTTCCCAGTGAAAGCTTTTCAACACAGGCCTTTACCTTTATGAAGAATAAAGACATGTTACAAGGGTGATGGGGTTTATGGCTGCAGGAAGCTAGCTCCTAATTTGCTCTGCTGACAGGTTCATAAGGCCAAGGAAGTTTATAAGGTAAAAGGATTTTTAAGCAAAAGTATTTTTAAGAAATGAAT